CGATGCAATCGGCGAAGATCGCCTCCCCGCCGATGCTTAGAATGTCGCACATTCCGCTTTTACGGAGAAACGGTTCTCGGTACGACGAAGCCCAAAAAGCGCAGGAAAGCCGCGTTGGCGACGGTTAATCTTCCTCCCTTTTTCTTTCTCTTTTTCGCGTCTAGGGATAACGCGATAGCGACGACGGGCGCGTTTCTCGCATTCGACCCGTTCACTACGAGCATCGCGCGCTTTTTTACAGTCTTCGCCGCACGTGCAGACGAACCGTGATCTCTTCGCCGCAAAAATCGATTAGTCTTCCGTTCTGATCCACGACACGCACATTTATATCGGTAATGGTCCGCGCGGTGATGGGGAGGTAAATGATCTGCGCCGGGATCTCCGACCTAGTATGCTGGGCTAGCTGAAATCTTATTAGAATAAGGATTAGATGTACTATTTGTAGAGAGTAGTCCTCCGGCATAGGGGACCCTATACATGTCTCTAGCCGGGCGAAAGGATAATCCTGCAGGGCCCTGAGATAAATTCGCCGAATGTACGCCGACGTCCGGTACGTGAACGAGCGGAAAGCACCGCGGCCGATTAGCTGCTAAGCAGCCGCGGGAACGACGCGAGTAAGCATACCGGGAAACGCTAGCGCGAGCATGCGGCCGCACGAGCGGAAAGCACCGCGGCCGATTAGCTGCTAAGCAGCCGCGGGAGCGACGCGAGTAAGCGTATTCGCGGGAATATGCACGTACCAGCGTTTTTCGAGCACCGCTGCTTACGAGCTTATAAGCGGTGCTCTGTGTGCTTATGTTAGAAATAAGATGCTCGTTTAGCGTTCAACTAACATTTTAATATTATTTTGATGGAATGTTCTATGCGTGTAGTATAGAAGTAAAGGAAATATTAGAGAGGGGTAAAGGAAAAAATACGCTGTGATTTTTAAGGTGGAAAAACTTCAAAGTTGGAAAAAATTTTATGTTTATTGATAATAAATTTTACTTTTTTTCGTAAAATTAACAATTGCGTTTTAAAATTATACGCACAATTTCATTAAATCCTAGTGAAAGTAATTCTTCGAATACAATATTGAAATATACATCTAAAAATGTTAAATCCTTTATTTGCGTTTGTACATTGCGTTCAATTTCTTGAAAATTACCGATAACTATGAGTTTTATAATTTCATGATCTATGTAAGCTGATGGGAGTTTTAATTCTATCTCGTTCATTAAGTAATTGGCGCAGGTGTTGACAGTGCCGGCGATGCAAACTAGCCGGGACAAATGAGCATCCACGCATCTCGCAATATTTTCCAGGCCGAGAAAAGTTGCT